ATCTATGGTGTTTCAAACAATCGAGCGGGGAAAACTGTGCAAGGATAGGTCTGTGCGCGACGTGGTGCTGTATCGACGTCCGTTTGTCATTTGCAGCAAGGTTTCTCTTGACCATTCCAACATTTACTACGTTGCAAGCATGCTGGACAGTTTTGGTACCATTCGCAGCACGTGGTAGGAATCTATGGCGTTTCAAACAATCGAGCGGGGAAAACTGTGCAAGGATAGGCCTGTGCGCGACGTGGTGCTGTATCGACGTCCGTTTGTCATTTGTAGCAAGGTTTCTCTTGACCATTCGATCATTTACTACGTTGCAAGCACGCTGGACAGGTTTGGTACCATTCGCAGCACGTGGTAGAAATCTATGGTGTTTCAAACAATCGAGCGGGGAAACCTGTGCAAGGATAGGCCTGTGCGCGACGTGGTGCTGTATCGACGTCCGTTTGTCATTTGTAGCAAGGTTTCTCTTGATCATTCGAACATTTACTACGTTGCAAGCACGCTGGACAGGTTTGGTACCATTCGCAGCACGTGGTAGGAATCTATGGTGTTTCAAACAATCGAGCGGGGAAACCTGTGCTAGGATAGGCCTGTGCGCGACGTGGTGCTGTATCGATGTCCGTTTGTCATTTGTAGCAAGGTTTCTCTTGATCATTCGAACAAATACTAAATTGCAAGCATGCTGGACAGGTTTGGTGCGATTCGCAGCTCGTGGTAGGAATCTATGGTGTTTCAAACAATGGAGCGTGGAATACTGTTCAAGGATAGGCATGTGCGCGACGTGGTGCTGTATCGACGTCCGTTTGTCATTTGTAGCAAGGTTTCTCTTGATCATTCAAACATTTACTACGTTGCAAGCATGCTGGACAGGTTTGGTACCATTCGCAACACGTGGTAGGAATATATAGTGTTTCAAACAATTGAGGAGAGAAAAATATGCAAGGATAGGCTGTGCAACTCGTGGTGTCGTTTCGACGTCCGTTTGTCATTTTAAACGAGGTTTTTCTTGACCATTCATATATTTACTATATTGAAACATATGAAATGAGACTCTCATGCAATAATCAGAGCGTGTGGACCAGTAGAACTTGGTTCGATGACATATACGCAAAACCAGACGACGCTGCCGAACTATCATGTTCGCCTGCGGAACAACCATAAAATGTGTTGACAGCCTGCCTCCTTACTAGTTCACAGATGGATCACATCATTCAAATGAAACTAGAAAACAATTTTTGAAAATGACAACAGATGTTAATGATAGCCAGAGAATGAGATGTAAAGTGCTAGAAGCTTTATTCGTACAGCTTGGAATGGTGCGTTTTTTGAAAGTTTGCAAACCAAACATTTTTTGCAAGTTTGTTGAGAAGGTATAGGGGAGGCAGGAGAACCACTTAAATATCGATTTAAGCCATAATAGTGCAGGATATGAGCAACCAACGACTTAGAATTATGAGTGAATTTCGAGCCATAAACCAACCCAAGTTGAGTGTTTGGTCATTTATTCATAATTCCTATGGTAATGTGAACATCAACATATCGTTTAAATTAATAAAAAATTATGTTGCAGTACTATGCCAAATATGTTGCTGCCATTTTGACATACATGTGTGAGAGATTTACAATGAAAGAATGATTTTAAAGAAGGAAGAATGAGTGTATGCTTCTGTTTCCCAAATTCGACAGCTTCCAAAACGGATCAGCAGGTGAGTTTTGTTTTATGCTCCTTGTTCTGCTGCGTGCTTGTTGACTTAGTTCCTTGTTTGTGTTGCCACAACTGCCTAGCCAATCGCGTGCGAACACTAGCATCAACCTGGCGAGTTCCACCACACCCAAACCAAATGCTTTCGCTCCTAGCCAATCGCGTGCGACCACCAGCAGCTTGCTGGCAAGCTCCACCACACCCAAGTATTTTTGCGCCACAACGCTGTAGCACTTAGCCTATCGCGTGCGACCACTAGCAGATGCTGTTTTTGCCTGTTTCATCGCGAGCTCGTTTTTATCGCCAAATGCAGAAATCGAGTCAGGTGTTTCCAACAATGTGTCGTGCAAACTTGAAGATGAGGCCGACTGTGCTGGCGAGCTGGCATTCCTCTCACCTTCGCGAGCCAATCGACGGAATCGCTGACGTGTTTCAGCACATTTCGCCAGACTATTCCTCCCTTAGCGTTTTCGTTCAGCGTGGATTTTTGAAGGGTGGCGCGATTGTGTGGCGATGCAGCAACGACCGCTTTGACACCTCAGCAGCAATCTGGCAGTTGCTGGTGCTGGAGCAGTGACATGCGAAGTTTTTGACTGAGGATCAGGTTCGATCGCCTTGGAAATCGTTTTTGACGGAGTTAGAGCTGGTTCTGTAACTTTCAGAAGGAATCAGCGTGGGTGTAGTACGGTTGCGGATCGATATTTCCCCAGGGTCGCCACTTTTACCACGCCCTAACCCCCTTCTTCCCTCCGTCCCACCTGACACTTCCATCTCCTCCCACCTCTCCTTACTCGAGCTTCCGTTTCTCCTCAGTTAGCTAGTTTTCCTTCCAGTCAGTGTTTCACTCAGTCTTCCGCTCGTCACTGCCGCAGAGGTTTTTCCAAAGGTTTCCCTCAGCCACCGTAGCTAGCTACCTATCGCTGTCGTCCTGCAGCGCCTTTATTACTACTCGAAGAAGCACCTTTTTATTTTCCTGTTCTATTGAAATGGCGCTTTTCGATTTTGTGACTCTCAAATCTTTCTGACGATGTTGTTTTCTGTTTCACAGCACTTTATGACGATACTAATTAGGTTATTGGCCGACGAGGTAATCGCGTTCTCTGCAGTCCTTGTCCTTCACGCGTTTGTGACGTTTGGCGAAGCTAACGGCCTTGCTATGGTTTTTTTGCAGATTGAATTTCCGGTGAGGTTCTTAGCGGCTAAAGTGCATGTGCTTATCGACATGTCGCGTTGGTGTCGCTCAGGGCATGCTATTTGAAATACTCCCGGCGCCAGTACTAGGTACGTTATGCACCTTATCTGCAAACTTTTTTGTTTTTTGTTCAATACTAACCATTAATCACTCTTCGCGTCCATGTGCTTGTTATCAGCATTCCAGGGGTTGTATTAGTACCATGTATGGCATGTGTCTTTTTTTTTTCGTATAAGCAGTTGCTATCTCATCTGATTTGCTGCTATGGTACTTGTGAATAGCATATTGTAAGCAGTTTAATGTGGTCGCCCCCTGTAATGCTTATTTGTATTTATCTGTGGAAAAAAACTTTTGACGTTGCCTGCCTCCCAGTAGAAACCCGTCTAATACAATGCCATTAAGAATCTTAGATTGCGAAACATAATTTTACGATAAATTGATAATGAAAACATAAAACTTAGTGTACCTTAATTATTAAGAAGTTTCAGTACACGAAGTGTAGCTTATTCAATTTAATTCGCCTCGAAATCTCATTCTCGAAGCGCGGTCGAAGTTCGAAACCAGACTGATATCGCACCGAAACCATTCGGAACCTGTTGGTAACGAAGCCCTGAAAAGTGCCCATGAAAGCGCCTGAAAAGCACATGAATTACAGCGAAGCCACTGCCTTGGTTTCAGTCGGAAAAAGGCCCTGTTTTTCAGTCTGATTTCAGCCGCGGGTCCTGAACGCGGGCTGAAAACCAGCTGAAATCCGGACCTGGTTTTTGCGATGGAGTGCTATTTATGGGCTGTACGAGGGGGTGCGGGACGAGGTGTCGAATCGTGGTCACATTCGAAGGTTACGATTGTTTCAGAACGGTTCCGTAAAACCCAGCATCGGTTGAGAAGTGTTACGCCACTGCGAAACGTTTCCTGGGTAACACTCCAACAGTTTCGCGCTGCGGGAAACTCTCAGTGGAATCCGCTGCCAACAGCCAGATAGTTGTTGCCGACGCTTTCGGCGGGTTACCTGGCAGGAGATTACCTTTCTGATGCGGAACAGCACGGGTCGATGTCTGTTCGTCTGACATTTTTTAGGGCAAGGAAACGGGAAATTTCCGGTTGGCGAAACCAGAAGCGCTTGAGTAATTGTTTTCATAAAATGCCCGTGAGAAACAGTGACGCCAGGCCGGAGGTGAGTTTCGAGCGTTTGATGCAAAAAAGCACTACTGTACTATTCGTTGATAATTCTTGTTTTCGTGCATCCCAGTCACAGCATCATTTCCTGCATTCTTGCTGCCGAGACGAGACATTTGATTTGATACAGTACTTCGCTCGTCTCCGCAGAGCACGGAGATCAGCGACCGTCTGCCTTGCAAAATTCAGGCGCAGCAGGCTCATCGTGGCGCCGCGCCACCATACCTCGCGGTCATGTCATGTGTGGTCTGCTCCGCCGCGATATCCGTGCACAGCAAATCCAGTCAGCCTGGTCAACGCGCAGGTGCCGCAGGAGTTTAGGAGAATGCGGAAGGTCTGATTCAGTGGTCTCCGCTATGCTGTCAGCACACTTCATTCACAGAGTAGAACCTTTTGGTAGTTCACTTATACAATAAATATTGACTTGCTGAAAACTTACAACACACAGTACTGCAAGTGTTCCTGAGTTTTTTAGCACACGTTGCACGCGAAAAATACCAGCTATGCAAAATATTTGCCCCAAAAATACACCCTCACGTGTGGGGAAATTTTACGTTTTTTTTCACCTTACCGAATTCATTTATACTGGCAGCACGCACTGGCATCGCATCGCAGCTAGCACCGTCGACGGCCGTACCGCCGCTGGTCAAAGCGACCGCTTTTGACGTCTTCCCTCCTTTCCGTCCCTTTCAAACGTTTGTCTCCTGCCGTTCCGTGCAGCAGCAAGGACGCAAGCGAGCAAGCGAACGAACGAGCAAGCGAGCGAACGAGCGAACGATTGAGCAAGCGAGCGAACGAGCGAACGATCGAGCAAGCGAGCGAACGAGCGAGCGAGCGAACGAGCGAAGGAGCGAACGATCGAGCAAGCGAGCGAACGAGCGAGCGAGCGAACGAGCGAGCGAGCGAACGAGCGAAGGAGCGAGAGCCACCATGTTTTCGTCGTCGCAATCTACGGCGGTGCAGCTGGTGGATAAGGCGACGAGCGACCTGCTGGCGAGCCCTGATTGGACGCTTAACATGAAGCACTGCGACCTCCTTAACGCCAGCTCCGGGTGAGTTAGAGCCGCCAGCTCCGGGTGAGTTAGAGCCGCCAGCTCCGGGTGAACGCTTAAAGGCGTCTTTAACCCGTGCGTTCATCAGGGCGCTCCGGATAATCGTTTTTTCAAGAGTGTGTTTAAGTCTGAGCGTTAAGTCCTCTCCACTTCTCTACGTACTTGTTCCTTCCGTCCATCATTGCGTTGTGTCACCTGCGTGGCAGGCAAGTGAAGGACGTGGTGAAGGCAGCGAGGAAGCGCATCGGCAGCAAGAACAGGAAGACGCAGCTCCTTGCACTCACTGTACGCTCAACACTCGCGGTATTGACTCGTAAAATGTGTGAACTGCTTTTCTTTTCCCGCTGCTCTCTCGATTTATCATATACTCACGAACGCCCATGTCTTTGCCTTCGGGCCATGCCATGCCCCACATCCGTAACATGAATACATACACCGCTGTACTGGTCGCATACCTTATGTATTCCTGCCACCTGCATCAGCCCCTCCAAGAGTCTTCCCAAGTACCCCATACCATATCCACCCCCCCCCCCGTACATGCCCATCTGCGCCCACGTGTTGTCCCCTGCTGTGCCCCTTTTCGTGCTCCTCCTATCCCTGCTCTCTTTTCTGCCCTTCCCCTTATCTTCTCACCTTCTACCCCTCCCAGCTACGTGGAGTGCACGTCAGCATCAATTTAAGCCCTAACAGCGTTCACAAGAGCGCACCCGGAGTACCGTGCAGATGGCATCGAGCAGGCCATCTGGAAGGCGAGAGGCTTCCTGGTGGATATCCAGAGGGACGATGGCTCGTGGTGAGTGGAGGGACGTAGTGAACCTGCAATGATGCTCTCCCATGCCTTGATGCGTCTCTGACAATTATGAAGGTTTGAACGTGTTCCCCTTGGGCATGTGGGGGTAACGAGGTGTAGAATGGAAGATCATTCCCCAAAAGGGGCAGGGCAATCACAATTGAGGTGCCACTTGAGGTACCACTTGAGGTGCCGCATCAAGGTTGCGCTGAGACTAATTCTCCACCCAAACCATCCTTGCTGGTGCGACAGCTGGGGCGTGTGCTGCTCTTTTCGCACGTTGGGCACTGGTAGTAGCAATCTCGAACCCTGAAGCCTCCTCCTTTCCTCCCCACCCGAACCTCGATGCAGGTACGGCAGCTGGGGCGTGTGCTTCACGTACGGCACGTGGTTCGGGATCTCAGGGCTGGTGGCCGCGGGGGCGCGATACGAGACGTCGAATGCCGTCCGCAAGGCGGTGCGCTTCCTGTTGGACAAGCAGCTGCCGGCAGGGGGGTGGGGGGAGAGCTACTTGTCGAGCCAAGACAAGGTGTGTGTGTGCGGTGCTGTGTGTCTATCTATGTACTTTTGAATCGACTCAAAAGTGGGGGGAGAGCTATTTGTCCAGCCAAGACAAGGTGTGTACATGCTCTGCACTACGTATATGGTGTGTTGCGTGTCTGTATGCGGTGTGTCAGGGTCTTTGGTGTGTGTGCTGTGTGGTGAAGCAAACACATTTCGAGACGGCTCAAAAACAGGTACTTGGCCAGTGTTTGAACAAACGACGTTTCGAGACGTCGTAGCACTGCCCTCACACCTATTCTGGGGTGGCTTCGCTGGCCTTTCATTCACACCGCCATGCCCCATCAGTCGCTGACACATTAACGAGACTAGAGATCACTGCTGACAAGTTGACAAGCTGACGCCCATCTGTCCTCTGCTCGCCTCTGTTGCCTTTTGTACCCCAACTCCCATCTCCAGTCTCTGGCGCCATCGCTAGCACTTGCTGAAGCACACCACCCCATCTGCTGACCACCTTTACCTAATCAGTGCTAGCTAACGAGCTCATGCCAATCAGCTGATGCCCATCTCTCGGCCCTGCTCTGCTCTCCGCTCTCGAGTGACATACTGGTCTTCACCCTCTTATTCACATCTTGCATTCTGATGATTTTGTTTTGCCACCCTGCCATCACCCGCAGACATACGTCAACCTGCCAAGCGACCGCCCTCACCTGGTGGATTCCAACACGCTCACCCTCATCTGTCCCCTTCTCTCTGCTCTCCCCCTCGCCAATGCCCTCTTCCTTTATTTCTTCTATCCCCCGTCTGCCATCACGTGCGGAAATACGTCAACATGCCGGTCGACCGCTCTCCTACCTGGGGACCTCCAACACATTCACTCTCATGACCCTGCTTCTCGGTTTTTTTGAGAATTCTAAAAAAAACCCTGGAGAATTCTAAAAAAAACCCTGGAGAATTCTCAAAAAAACCCTGCAGCATCATGGACCTCCAACACATTCACTCTCATGACCCTGCTTCTCTCTGTTCTCTCCCTCTCCAATGTCATCTTCCTCTTCCCCCTCATATCCCTACCTACCTATCACGTGCACAACTACATCAACCTGCCAGGCGACCGCCCCCACCTGGTGAACACGGCGTGGGCCATGCTGGCCCTCATGGAAGCAGAGCAGGTAAGCCAGGTGTGCCTGGGAGAGGTGATATCTGCTTCGTGGGGGAGGTAGTGGCACTAACTTTCCTCATGCCAGCATCTGCACGATCCCAGCCGCTGCATGCCAGCAGGGGTGCTGCCATATCAAAGTCCGCACTCCTCCTTCCAACCTTTACCCCCCCACCATCCTCCCTCCCACTACCCCCATTTCCCTTCCCGAATGCTCCTGTGGCAGCACCTGCGCGACCCCCGGCCTCTGCATGCCGCAGCACGAGTGCTGTACCCATAAAAAGGGCATCGCTCCTCCCTCCACCCTTTCCTCCCCTCCCCACCCCTCCCTTCCCAAATGCTCCCATGGCAGCACCTGCGTGACCCCCGGCCTCTGCATGCTGCAGCACGAGTGCTGGTAATTGGGCAGATGGAGAATGGAGATTTTCCTCAGGAGGTGAGTGAGACGAGAGGGGGTGGGGAGCACTCTGATACAAGCACACTGCACGCTGCACTCTGCACGCCGCAGTGCAGGTGCTGGTGAATGGGAAGATGGAGAATGGAGACTTTCCTCAGGAGGTGAGCGAGCGCTTGGGTACGGAGGTTGAGAAGCGAGGAGAGGGGGTGGGGAGCTCTTTGAATGAGCCTTACATGCACGCTGCACGCTGCACTCTGCACTCTGTACACTGCAGCGCGGGTGGTGGTGAATGGGCAGATGGAGAACGTGGATTTCCCCAGGAGGTGGGTGAGAGCTGAAGGTGCTTCTGAATGGGGGTGAGAAACGAGGAGAGGGAGGTGGGAGGTGAAGCACTCTGTACGTCGCAGCACGGGTGCTGGTGAACGGGCAGATGGAGAATGGGGACTTCCCCCAGGAGGTGGGTTAGAGCTGTGTGGTTGGGAGATTCGGGTTTAGTGTGAGCAGCGAGCAGAGGGGGGTGGGGAGCTCTCCTGCATGCTGCAGCACATATGCTGGTGAACATGAGGTGAGTGAATCAGATGGGGGAATTTTTTTTTTAGTCGGCTTATAAACAGAAGGGGGTGGGAAGCACTTTCCTGCATGCTGCAGCTCAGATGCTAATGGGGGAGGGAGAGGAGGTGAGTGAATCAGATGGGGAGGAGGGAGAGGGAGGAGGAAAAACAAAACCCGCTATCTAATTCTCTCTAAGAGTGACACAGCGCATGTGATGGTGGAAGGGTTGTGGGGATGGGTGGGGTAGCAAGGGCGTCGAAGCACCATGTGTGCAGCTGCACAAGTGCTTGTCAACAGGGAGAGATGAAGAATTTCGACATCCCACTGGGGATAAGAGGACATGAGAGGGGGAGAGTTGGGGGGCGTATATTCTGCAGGCATCATTGGAGTGTCAAACTGCAATTGCATGATAGGGTGATTTGTTTATCATCATCATTCACCACTTCTCTAGTGCACTCTTTTCTTCTGTATCTCTGCCTATCATGATAACCGTAATTACTACCTATCTCGCACACTCTTTGCCGCTATTCCTCTGCTTGTGATGCACTTAACTTCACCCTCTGCAGGACATCATAGGGGTGTTCAACGGCAACTGCATGATAAGCTACTCCGCTTATCGCAACATCTTCCCCATCTGGGCTCTTGGCGTGTACCGAAGCAAAGTGCTCAAGCAGACAATCATGGCGTGACATATGGCAGCGTGTGGAAAGGAGGGAATCAGCACGTTTGGCATGAAACAAAGTTCTCAAGCAGGCAATCATGGTGTGACATACCGGCGTGTGGAAAGGAAGGATTCAGCATGCTTGCTTGGAGTGCACGGCAACAAAGTGCGCAGACAATAAATCATGGCTTGATGAAGCGTTGGCTCAGGGTGGCTCAGCCTCCTTGCGTCTTGTGTGTTTCGGGGAAAAGGGTTCAGCTTGTTGCAACATTGTTTCTGACCCCTTGTTTGGTACCAGGCTCTAGCCATTGATTCTGCAACTAGCGGTCAACCAACCATTCATTCATGACGTGATAATAATGGTTTTGAGACTGCAACTAGTACTAGCACATGCAGCCAAAGTAAATGAGGGTCAGGGAGACGGGAAGGCAAGCCTACCCTTAAAAGCTAAAAAACTTCACAGAGTTCTGAACTGAGCTTCAATCCATAGAACATAGAACATCACATTACATACATTTCCATTTCCTCACGTGCTAGAGCCCCACTGCTGCACTCTTGTCCTTTCATCCATATTAAATCTTATCAAACTCTTCTCATCCTTTCTGCTCCTCTCTTCTTCTCCTTAGGCTTTGCCAGCAACAGGCTGAACCTGAAACAGACCCATGGCTGCTCCCGCCTGGAAAGCTGCTGTCCCAAACCCAGTGCAGTACCCATCCGGTCCTGCCACAATCAAATCCACCAGCTGCTTGTAAGTCTGCCCCTGGAACGTGGTCAGCGTACTCGCTTTAAGCCACGTTCCGTTAAGGGCATAGGTGTACGTTGAAGGGAACGCGGGTGCCTCGCCAAGGCCCTTCCTGCCCTGGTTTGCCGTGGAGGGTGGTGAACGAGTGAGATTCACCCACGGGCCATCGATCCCTGGGGGGGAGTAAAAAGCGGCGACGGTTCTCTCCTGCCCCACGTCTTTCGCAATGCCGGCGAAGGCGGGCTCGCCCGCTTCGGGGGTAGAGGCGACGATGTTGTAAACGATATTGTAGTCGCCGTCCAACCTGACGGATTCAGTCAGTGTTCACGGAAGAGAGGTGGAACAAGGGAGGCATGTGAGAGTCGCATTGAACGAAGTGAAGAAGGGAGGACGAAGGAAAATGCTCAGGGAGGTGGCGCGGAGCAGTCGAGCTCGTCGACGGAGGAAGAACTTGTTCCTTTGAAATGCAATCATAGCCAAACATGATGTTTGAGGCAGGGAAATTGCGACTTACTCGTAGACGCCGAGGCAGGCTTGACCGGAGGCGTTGACGTCGCCCGCAAACCCATTCAAGTTGGAGGATCCGTTCAGCGACGCGGTCAGAATCACTGCTCAAAGAAAATTGGGGAGGGGAGCGGCGGAGCGACGCGGGAGAGAGCGATGAGAGATGAGAAGCGCAAATTGTGGAGAAGGAGGGTGTCATCGCGGAAATGTGTGTAAGGCGGCGGCACTCGGTGGTACGAAGCCTTCGTTCCCTGGACGACCCCACGCTTCTTGGGGACAGCCTCTGACGCGTATCGTACGCCGTTAGCAACGGGTATACGCGGCACGCCTCGAGGCTTCTCGACTTGCCGTTCGCTTCTCACCAGTGAGAGTCCCGAGAGCCTGAGCATCGTCGGGATTGGGCAACGGGCACGCCGCGGGTCCTCCCTTCGGGATTTGCGCCGTCGTGGTCGCTGCGCAGCACAAGGACGAAACCACGCCGAATGTAAAAAATCGAAATTGCAGAACGACCGGAAGTTCAATTTTGTCAGATTGATCAGTGGAGATGCGAATGTCACTCACCGACGCTGGCGGTGACGACTAAGAGAAAAATCGCCAAGCCGACGTAGCGCTGGAGCCCCATCGCAGACTGAATTCCGAAGCTGGTGACTGACTCTGGGAGAGGAGTATGGAGCTGCTTCGGTTGCTAATTAGCGAACAAGTGAATGCTTGATTTCTCGGATGACCAGAAGTGATATTTATGGGCTGGAACGAGGTCTGCTGAGCGGGTGCCCACGGGCCCACATTTGAGAAGGTTACAAGCTCTTCAGTACGTTTCCGTGGTTTCGACATAGGTCGCGAGATGTTACGCCTCGGTGAAATGTGTATCACGCCTTCAACATTTGCGCGCTCCGGGAAACCTGGACAATGCGCTGCGCGAAGAGTCAAATAGACTTTGCCGAGACGATAGGTCACATGATGCTGCCGAGATGTATTTCAGATGACGCTTTGGGCGGGATACCTGGCGGGAAAGGAAGGAAGGATGCAAACATACCGTCTGACCCCGGATATAAGCGCATGTGTTATGAGCCTGGAATGAAAGAGTGTGCAGAATGCAATAACGCAGAAGTGATTACAACTACTGATCAGTAAATGAAGCATAGCACAGATATAGCGAAAGGCTAGCTAGGCGGGGTTCGTGGGATCATGATGGTTGCGTGCTATTTCGGGGTTGTCAAACTCGAAGGCGACGCAAGGTACGTTCGGGATGCAAGGTCAGCAGGTCGAGCCTGGTCTTCCGAAAGTTGGAGCTGAATGCGTACAAAAATAACCCAGTGAGAAATGAGGGAAATTTCCATACAGTACTCCCCCCAATCCCCCCCCCCCTCCCCCCCTTAATAAATGTGGTTAACAACAGTCATGCGGCGACGGAAACGATAGCCCCGTAATACCGGGTGACCCTGAAGCGAGTCCGATGACACTCACATGTCGTCCTCACTGATTCAGTAGGTCAACCGAAGTAAAATGTCGACGTGGCGTCCAGTCCAACTGTCCTCAAGCGAAACCGATGGGCCGGGATTTTGGAGGGCTCGAGTGTAAGCTCTGCCACAGGTCGAACACCTGGGGTGATAGTCTGGCGGGGAATGGCGGATGACAGGGCGACGAATGGTCGTACAGACTGACGTGACACGTGCCAGCATTTAGATGACCCGGAACGATTTCACGAACCTCAGACAAAGTTTTGTCGGTAAGGGCAGCCGAAGGTTCTTTGTATACAGCAGTACCAGCTGTCCAGCATGGATAGGTAAATCCTGTCGATGCCTGTCGGTGTTGCGGCTGGCAACGGTATTAGCCTTGTGGATATATTATGATACTTTATCCTTGGCAGCTTGCAGTTTGGTGACGGATTGCTGCAATCGTGGTACTGGGTTGTCAGGTGTAGTCGACGAGGGTACCACGTGGTCTATCCCGTGGTTACGATAGAACGGGGACTGGTTGGTCGTAGCGAATGGTGCGTTGTTATACGCAAACTCCAACATAAGGAGTGAGTCATCCCACTTAGAGAGGTCGAGGCAATTGGTGTGAATCAGCTGCCTTGTGGTCTAATTTGTCCGCTCCGTCAGATTGTCGGTTTGTGGCTGGTATGACGACGAAAATTGCACACGGGTGTCGTATTGGTCGGCTCCAATACGACAACGACGACCATCCAGCACGAGGCCAACACATCGCCGCGTGCATTGCTGCTAGAAGAGTCGGCGTCCCTCGCCGATGACATCTTCGATGTCTGCTTCTCCTTCCGCGGCTGAGTGTCGCGACAATGATGGCCAGTGTCGGTGTTCCCGCGCACGGCTTCCTGGTCGACGTCAGACTCTTGCGGTCAAGGGTATCATAGGAGATGTGGTCGGGATCTCCGGAGACGTATCAGTAGCGCCCTCCTCGGCGCTTTCCGCCGCCACCGCGATCGTTGCCCTTGGCCGATTTCGCACGGTCGATGTTGCTCGCCGACTTGCCGCCACCGTCGCCGCCTCCGCATGACTTCCCACGTTGTCCCTGCTAACGACTCTGCTGCGTCAGGTCGACGTAGTTTGGCTTGCGGAAGGAGCTCCATGGCCCGCTCAGGCTCCTGCATGAACTCGTCTTGGATGATGGAGCTCGTCAAGGAGTCTTCGTTGAGTTGTGCACTCACGCCAGGTAGCGTCATCATCCGACGCATCAGGTTGTAGCCCATGGAAAGCCCCTTGATGATGTGCGTGACGTAGGACACCACCAAGTAATTGCTGTTGGACATTCGCAGGTCGACTAGAATCCGCCGGGCACGGTTACAGTACCCTGTCGCCGTCTCTTGCTCGCCCATCCTGATGTTGGTCAGCCGCTTCTCAAGTTGGTCGATGTAGAGGTCGTCAGTTGCCTTGTGATTCCTCGTGATAAATTGCCAGGCTTGGAAGCTGGCGTCTTCACGAAGTAGAAAGGCCTCAACGCCATTTGCACCTTCTGGCAAGTAGCACCTCGAGATGACCATGAACGTCACCAGGTGAGCAGCGCAGAATTCCGTCCGGAGCTCGACGGTGTCCTCGCCCGGTGTCTCCACGTCGCCGTCAGCGATCCTTTTCAGTCCTAAAATATCCAGCTGCGGTTCTATCTACTAACCAAGTTATCACTCCATGTCGGCCTTCAAGCAGCTTGGGCACACCGACCTTGTCCAACGAAATTTTGAAGTAGCCGTACGTCGGCGTAATGAGGCCAGCTGAGACGTGTGACGCCGATGTCGGCCTGGCTCTACTTCGCCAAGGAAAGAGACGTCGACCGTCGACGTCGCTTCAGGAGCAGCCCGCAGCCAGCGAGTGCAGCATTTGCGACTGCATACTGCCGACGACGACGCTGACGAAGTCGGCTCTGCCTGGTCCTTGAATCACATTACGCGATAGTGTGACCGTGCCTCTCTTGCCGACGAGGTTGTCGCTGCCTTCGTCATTTACGGGTCGGGGAGAGGCGGACATATCGTTTGCTTCAGAACGAGGAGGGGTATGCTCGCTCGCCCACTGCGCAAGAATTCCTAATAGCAGCATCTCCAAGTCCGCCCCACCGTACTCGCCATTTTGGTGGTGAGCCCGAACATCAGCCTCTCGAGCCTGCACGGTATCTTTGACTCCTGCTTCGACCACGAGGTCGACCATGGGACAAAGACGGTTGATGACCTAGACTAAGACATAGGTAATGCGTGACGTACGGCTAATCTGAAGTTCGCATGTTGGATCCACGCTCACCACACCATGCGAAGAGTCACTCTACAATGGGTGTGGACTACGTAGGAGGCCACGGGTTGCACGGTTGATCGTAGCATTCTCTAGCACTTGGCAAGTTTATTCTGCTCGTGGGTGAATTTCGCAAGAGCTTCACTAGCAAAAGTTGGAAGAATATTGAACAAAATGGCGTGACAAAGTCGATATAGCAAGAACACAACACACCTAGCAACCTAGAAAGTCGGCCTCCAGAGCAGAACAAAGGCGGCTCGCTAACGCCGCAAGCTAGTGTCAGAAATAACGGGCAAGAATGGGTGACTAGAAAGGATGGATGAGTACAAGTAGGGCAAGGTCTAACCCTAAAGTGTTGTACTCAGTAGAGGCTACCCCACTACAGCCTACAACATAGAAACATAGTTTGACACACCCCCATAGGCTAAGTGGGAGATAAGCAAACACAACCAACGGTCACAAGACCAGTCAAGCAAGAGAACAAAGCAAAGCAAAGCTCAGGGTGGATCTCCACGCATTCTGAGCACAAGGAAGTGGCCACAAGGCCAGTTCACATGCAGAGTTATAAAAGCACAAGCATGCATGTATATATATATATATCAGCAGGTGAGGCAGAGTAGGCACAAGGCCTAAAGCAGTGCAGAAAACTGATGATCACCGGTCACAAGAGCCTTGGTGAAGACATCAGCAGTGTTGGCCCGAGAGGCCACGTAAGCAAGGTGCAGCTGACCACGCTGCTGCAGCTCCCGAGCAAGAGCAATGTGCTTCGTTATGTGCTCCAGTCTCTGCTCCTGACACAAGACAATCATGGCCTTGTTGTCGACGTACAGAACTGGAGGAGAACGAGACCGCTCACCCAAGTCGGTCAGCAGGTAGGTCAGCGAGCGTACCTCCTGTGCAGCCATGGCCCCTGCGTAGATCTCGGCCTCACAGCTGGAACCAAGCACAGAAGACGAACGAGTGGACCTCCACGAGACAGAACCAGAGACGAGACAGAAAGAGTAACCCTGTGACGACCGCTGAGTCGCCTGGTCGTCGGCCCAAGAAGCGTCGTCCTGTGAGTACCACTGAACCCCGTTTTCCAAGCACGAGCCCCATGCCCAATGTACTGCACAAGTAACGCAATACCCTCTGCGCAGCTGTCCAGTGCTCCTTCCTGTGTCGCACGGGCGCGATGAAGCTAGCAAGGATGCTGAGAGGGTACGCGTGGTCAGGTCGTGTGCACGTCATCAGGTACACGAGGCAGCCCACAAGCTCAAAATACGGGCCACTCGGCTCTACGGACTCGTCCGAAGGTGGAGCTGAGAGCGAGTGGCCTGTAGGCAGAGGAGTGCGCTGTGGCGAGGAGAACTGAAAGCCGAAGCACTGAAGGACCTGGTGCACCATGTGTGACTGAGTCAAGGTGATGGTACGCAGTGCTCTGTCCAGGGTGATCTGCAAGCCAAGATAGCTACGCAGCTCACCCAGGTCAGTGCACGTGTGTCTCTTCTGCACGAACACGAGGATGTAGAATAGCGGCAGAGTAGGGTCGGTGCGCAGAAACAGCGACGGGTCAGCAGTCGAAGGAGCAAACCCAAGAGCCACAAGTGTCGTCCTCAGTGTGTCGTGCCACTCGCGGGGCGCCTTGCGGAGACCGTAGACTGGCCGCCAGAGACTCCACTGTTAGAACCTAGAATAGAACGAGAATGGATGAAACTAGGTAGGAGGGGGATACAAGTAGGAAACCCTAACAAAGTTGTACCCCCTAAGGCTAAACCCACTATAGCCTACACAATATAAACATATAATGTTTGACACACCCCCATAGGCTAAGTGGGAGACAACCAGATGGTCACAAGACCAGTCAAAGCAAAGCAAAGCAAGCTCAGGGTGGATCTCAAGGAAACCACAC